ATCACATGTTTCACAACATAAAAAAGATCAACAGTCGATTTTGTCACAAAGTGATAAAATGAGTGTCCATTATGCTTATCAGGCGTGTAACAATCAATGATTATCATAATTTATACTTTTACGCGTATTTTACAAAACAAATTTTATTTATAGAAGCAAGAAACAACAATGACAACACCTATTAATAATATTTATAAGAATACCAACAACTACACCAATTACAACAATGATATTAGTATGTCACAAAATTTTATGAATAATGATAATGTTAATAACAACAACAATGAAAGCTTTTTAAATGATAACTATGATAATGATAATAATTATTTTAACAATAATATTTATAATTATAATAATGATAACAATAATTATAATAGCAGTGATGGTGATGAAGGTAACAATAACAACAACAATAATAGTAACAGTAATATGGAATTTTCGGAATTTTCTACTGGATCTGGGAAAAAGCTTGTGAACATATCTAAAGATTCATTTGAAAGAGCATATGAGTGTTTAGATGTTTCTGAACATTCTTCTTCTTCCACTTTCAATAATATATCAAACGATCCTCCAGGAATATCTGGATTTTCCACTGGCTCTGGAAGAGGAATTAATCCTGTATCAAAAGAATCAATGGAAAAAGCATACAAATGTTTGGATGTTCCCACCAATTTATCATCACCATCTACTAATTCCAATAATAATCCTTCGGGAATATTTGGATTCTCCACTGGCTCTGGAAGAGAAATTAATCCTTTATCAAAAGAATCAATAGAAAAAGCATACAAGTTTTTGGACATTCCTACTGATTTATCATCACCATCTACCAATTTCAATAATATATCAAATAATCCTTCAGGAATATCTGGATTTTCCACTGGCTCTGGAAAAGGAATTAATCCTGTATCAAAAGAATCAATGGAAAAAGCATACAAATGTTTGGACGTTCCTACTGATTTATCATCACCATCTACTAATTCCAATAATATATCAAATAATCCTTCAGGAATACCTGGATTTTCCACTGGCTCTGGAAGAGGAATTAATCCTGTATCAAAAGAATCAATGGAAAAAGCATATAAATGTTTGGATGTTCCCACCCATTCATTATTACCATCTATTAATTCCAATAATATATCAAATAATATTTTGGGAATATCTGGATTTTCCACTGGCTCTGGAAGAGGAATTAATCCTATATCAAAAGAATCAATGGAAGAAGCATACAAGCATTTGGATGTTTCTGAACAATCTTCTTCAAATATCAGACCTTTAAAAGATAATGATATAAAAAAGTTTAGAAAACCTATAAAAAGTTTTGAAAATAATAATAATAAAAACAACAACAATAGTAATAATAATCTATTAAATGAAACACCTAGTAATATAAAGAAATCAAAAAAAAATCGACATTCAATTAAATATGATTCAAATATTTATAAATCACCATCAATCAAATCTTCTCATCAATCTAATTTAAAATCAAGAACTCCACTCAAATCATTGCATTCATTACAAAATATTAAAAATTCGTCACCTCAATCTAATAAAAATAATGACAACAATAAAAAAAAATATAAAAAAATATAAAATCTTCATCTTTATCATCACAGACAACAATCTCTTCGTCAATCAATAATAATGATGATGATGATAATAACATTGGCACCAAATTCTTTGAATTATCATCATCTGTACCTAGAAATGTTATGGGAAACTTGGTATATCATCATCCTTTGAAATTTACTGAACAAAATTTATTAAATTTTGAAATACCAACAGATGCTTTATACATAAATCCATCAAATGCCACTCATTATAGATTCACTTGGCCAAGACTTTTTTCAAAATCAGATTCCCAACCACAACAAAAAACATGGGGCCCAAATGAAGCATTATCATGTTTAATTGAATGTGGTGCTAATCCTAAATTGATAGATGAACAATGGGTGCTAAATCATTACAAATGGATAGTATGGAAAATAACTAGTATGATTAGATCTTATCCTTATTTGTTTCGTGACTGGCTATCATCTGATACAGTACTTGATCAGTTAAGATATAGATATGAAAGAGAAATAAATCGTGCACACAGATCTTCTATTAAATTAATTGTAGAAGGTGATACTTCACCATCATGGCCTATTGTTCTTTGTGTATCAGATATAATTGATGATAGTAACACTCCATTAACATCACAATCTTCTTCATTGTCATCAACACCACTATCTTCTTCATTGTCATCAGCACCATTATTTTCCTCATTGTCATCAACTTCTTACTCATCATCACCACCTTTCCCTTATATATCAAAATCATCATCATCAACTAATAAAGAAATTCCTATTGATTCAAAACTTTCACTTGAATTGACTGATGGCTGGTATAAGATTCATGCATGTATTGATCCACCATTACAACGAGCTATAATGAAATCCAAAATAAAAATTGGTAGCAAACTTGAAATTTGTGGTGCAAAAGTTTATGGAGAGTCTGTTGGCAAAACATCAGTATTAGAAGCAACAAATTCCATATATTTGAAATTATCAGGAAATTCAACAAAACCAGCTCATTGGGACTCCAAACTTGGGTTTGGAAAGTTTAGACCTTTTGCTTCATTAAATAGTCTTACCCCAGATGGTGGGTTTATTTTTGCCATTGATGTTGTGGTAATGCGAAAATATCCTTTGATGTACCGTGAAACAACTAAAGATGGAATATATATCATGCGTAACGAAAAAGGAGAAGAACTGGCTCAAAGAAAATTTACAGAACAGATGCAGGAAAAGGTGCTATCCTTACTAGAAATTTATCATAAGGTAGGAATAGGCGGTGATGATTCAGCAAATAATAATATCAGGCAAAAACAAGCAATAACTAAACAATATGTGAATAGTCTCACATCTGGAGAAGAAATATTTAATTTATTGCATGAGAATACTGAGGATTCTAATAGGATATTTGAATATTTGAGCTCTGATCAGATTAGATGGTTAAATGATTGGCTGAATAGAAAAAAGATAAGAGATTTAAATGAAAAGAATGATTGGCTTAATGAGCAGTTGGAATCAATGGATTTGAAGTGTGTTCGCTCTGTTGTTCCATTCTTTAAAGTACGTGTATGTGATTATCATGAAACTGTTGGAGAGGTTCAATCCAGGGTTAAAAGAGAAGCATTGATCACCATATGGAGTCCTAGCAGTTCTTTATATGATTCTATTCGTGAAGGACAAAGAAATCACATATATTCATTGATGGTGGCCAATAATCAATCATATGATCCAAATTTATCAACAACAATTCCTTTAATACGTCTCACATCAATAGGACATACAACAATATGGAGAGAACAACAAGCCAATTTAAATAAAATCAGAAATTCATTATATAATATACGAGTTGTTACAAGTTGTGATGAATTAGAGATGACGATAAGGACAAATCGTCATCATTATCAAAAAGAGCATGATATGGTAGTAATTGTGTTAGTAGTTGGGGAAATTGTGGAGAAGATACAATATGGAATCACTATAGAAATACAAACTGCAATAGCTACAGATACAAGTGGACAGCTTGTGTTCATTGAATTCAATAAGTCATTCTTTATTAATTTGAATAATTTATTGATACCAAAGTCTATATTGACCATAATCAACTTAAAGCATACTGGTTATGATTCAAATCATCAAGTCCACATACTTTCGACATGTGATGAGACAGGGATCAGACAATTTCCTCATGAAGATTACTTGAAGCAAGCTAAATCAAGACTTGAAACTTGGGTCAAAGTCAATGAGTCAGTTCTTAATGTCTTTGAATCTAATGCACAAAATTTATATAAATCATTTTCATCCTGCTCTTCTATTTATTATAATTGTATGTTTTCATAAAGATCCATTTATTTTATATTACTTTTTTTTTTGAGAGACTGTTGGTGATGGTTCTTTTTATTTTCTTATTTGCAAAATAATTTTATAATATAATATTACTTTGTATGCATATTTACAAATCTATGTATCTAAAATATATTAATGGAAGAATCAAGATAATCAACGCGTTGTAAAATCAAAGTTTAATTCGTTGCAAGCTTCAAGAAGGTTTTCATTGTAAATATATCTTTTGAAAAAAAAAAGGTTATACAATTTGTTTAGTGTAATTAAAATATTAGAAATTGAATATTTTTTTTCTCAAATAATTCCATATTCAAACCTTTTTACTCAATTGTTGATAAAATACAAAAATCTTATTTTCGAAATATTAGACATCATTCTATCCAACTTCCATTACATAATAATAATTAGATTCATTCAACAAGTTCGTTAAACTATTGACAAGTTTGCTAGATCAGACTTTAAAACAAAAGTGCTATTTCGGAAATTATCATTAAGAATATTCGTATGTGTATCTCGCAAAGAATATTTTTAGCTTAGAAATTATGCTCATTTTACTTTAAAAAACTTGGAGCTGTATATCAAGATAAACAAAATCAAATAAAAAAAATTACATCAGTAAGTTCTGAAGATTGTGGTTATAAAAATCCGTGCTTCTAGATTTTTTTTAGAACTTTGTCAAAAAAAATAAAAATAAATAACCATAAAATATTTGGCAATTGTTTCTTTATTGATTGTGTTGTGTGTTTTGTACCATGGTATGGTTGCTCGTTCGGATTTTTTAGAAACAGTTACACTATCAAAAAATCTTATTTGTGCAAACGTAGAGTCTGATGCAAAGTTTACCACACGTTTTCTTGTCTTTCCAGGGGTTGACAACTTTGTTTCAGTTGATTCTGGATTTTTTTCTGGAGTATTGTTTCTATCTGTTTCAACTTTTGTTAAAGGATAATATTGTTAAAACTGACACCTAATACTAAGCTTAATGTGTTAGATTTAATGTTATCCATTTTATTTTTCGGAAATGGTTTTTAAGGAACTCCACTTTATCCTCATTAGTGAAGACTCGACTACTAAATCTTTTCCATTAGGATGGTCAATCGATTAATTTTTTAACTCGTAAAAGAAAAAATTGTAAAATTCAAACAAAAACTTACTTTAAAACTAAGTGGGAAAGATTGATAAAATGGGCTGCAAAGAAAAAAATGAAAATGTGTGGATTTTTTACAAAGCTGAAGCAAAAAAAAACTCAAAGAGTCTAACAAAAAAATTGAATAATGCAGTCAGAGAATTTTAATTACTACTTCAACGACACAACATCTTCATTTTACATAAAACTTCTCTAAGGATATATTATTCATGTCAAATATCGAATATTTAAAAAAAAAATTTCTACCAAATACCTAAATCCCTTTAACTATTTTTACAGCAGATTCGGTTAGGAACTTTTACATATAGAACACAAACTATAAAAGAGTTCTTACAAATTCTATTAACAATAACTTTCCTAAAAAAGAACAACTTCTTAAGGCAAAACATGACTGGGTAGCAGTACGTATTTTTTTTTTGTTTTAATAGTGTTAAAATGCATATGATTAGAATCAATGTAAAATTTACAAGCCCATAGAAAATAATGGCCAAAAAGGATAGATGTTTCTGTACGCATACCTATAATTAAGACTTCTGAGAGATCCGAAAGAATATTGTCTGATGCAAAATCCAAAGAACATAGTAGAATCCAAAAGACTACGTGTCAAGTAAGATTCGAAGAAAATATGTCTCATGAAGTAGGATTTGAAAGACTACGTGTCAAGTAAAATCCAAAGGAATGCGTTTAAGATCCGAATAGGCTTGTACTTTATGAACGCGTGGCATTGAAGACTAGAACAAATTATATAATAATTTACAGTATTAATTAATTATTGATATTTGATATAACTTTTTTAGAATAAATATAAATCTATTCTCAAAGATTGGTGGAAAATCTCAACAACTATGATGGTGGTTGTGATAGTAATTTGAACAAAAAATAATTGATAACGACGAATATGATTGTAATTTGGAGGACGATGTTGGTGATCATAGCGGTGAGAAAAATGATTCAGTTGCTTTAGTTGATGATATATAGGATACCACAAGCGAAGAGTCTGATGATATCACTTTAGTAGAATTTAACAGCTATGAGATTAAAAATAAAATCTCAAATGTAAGTAAGCCTACTATGATATTTTGTTAAATTATATTTGAATAAAATTAATCTTTATTTTGCTAACTCGTAACGATATATCCACGCATGTCAACAACCACGAGAATAGTCTGCGATAACATACAAAATGAAGAATTAGATCCACAAGATTTACTTCCTAATGGCATTATTAATCATACTTTTTTACAAAATTATCATAAAAGATTGTTTGACCTCATTGTGAAACAAAACTGTTTAAATGAATTATTATGGAGTAGAGTTGAACTACATCGATATAAAATGAAGTTGGCGATTGAAGAAAAAAATTTTATATGCAGTCATATTAAGTATGGAAATTGTACTGCACCTAACGGTTGAGGGAGCACCAAAAATTTTATAATTGCCTAGGAACGTTTTTGGCCCAACTGGAATATGCTTGGCAACTACCATTATATGGGCAAAAATCTCCAAAAATTAACGAATATTCGTATTCGCATCAGGTGGTTAAATCAATTTGTGATTTACTATTATATAACATTAAGGGGATCAATATCGAATATAATGGTTATTATTATTATTATTTTTTCATTGTGAATTTTTATTAAATAAAAACTTTTTAATTTTGATTTTTTTTTTCTGTTGATTTATCAAATAATAAGGACCATCTGAATCCACCCAAAATCGGAACGGAGGGCAGTCTGGACCAACGCGTTGCCTGATTTAATGGTATCTGAGTTTTAGATCTCCTAATTACAAATGGGAGTTCATGTTTTGCGAAATAAGCAATGGACCACCATATTCACTTGATTGGAAACATTATTGGGAAGATGAATTAAGACTCGGAAAATTTTCAAAAGACGTGTGGAACAATGTACATATGTAAACTCGACAAGTCGGTCATGTGAAGGTGAGCTCATATGACCGACTTATCGAGTAAACGACTTATCGAATTAAATTACTTAAATATTAAGAAAATGAGGTGAAAATTTTGGCCGACTTATCGAGTAAACCGACTTATCAAGTGACCGACTTATCGAGTTTACATGTGTATATCTTTTTACTCAGAGATTCGATGCCTCGGATCAGTTATTAAAAGACATGATGGATGAATTGAAACATGTAATGATACATTTTTACGAATCAAAAATGGATATATATGTATTAGATCGTAAGATAAAGCCATTTTATCGAATGTGCCTGGTGAAGTCATTAGAGATACCACTTGTAAACAAAGGACAATACAAATGGTAAATAAATTGTGCAAAGGAATCTTAATGGCAAACAAATTAATAACTGATGTTGTTAGGAGAATTCATTCTATTAATCAATTATTACTCGAAAAGAACATCCCAACCATCCTTCCATGTCTAGTAGAGTGTGATAACTTACTTCCGACATTTATAACACTTGGTAGACCAACTTTTTAAATTCCGCTGGGATTACGACATAATTTATGGATTCTATATTATTTTTCTCTTTCTATTGGAGGTATAGGATATTAATAAAAATTGTTGAATTTAAATATATATTGTTAATTTTAAATATAGGGAATTATTAAATATATACGATTTAATTAATATGTAATAATTATTCATTTTAAAATTAATAAATCACGTACAATAAAGAAATTCTAATTGTGATTTAAATTGTTCCTGAAAATATCATCCTGTTATATCATATTAAATTCCATTTTGTCATCATTACTTGTCCCATGGAAGTATGATCATAGATATAAACCACTGTTGAAATGTGGTTGATCAAAATGATGATTTTACTATATAAATATATGTCCCATAACGTAATAAAGATCATAAAAAAGAAAATATAATGATAAGAGATAATATAGAAGGTAAATGGGGTAGTGGTAATTATGTCAATACAAAAACTTATCATCTCAAATGTTGGGGAATTATCAGAATTCACTACAAATAGTAAATGTAAAAGGATAATGTAATCAATAAATATTATATAATTTATAATGCATAAATCATTTTTATTGACATGTATATTTATATGACATTACAAGTAATAATTAACCACGAGCTTACATGGGAGGAATGCACAGGACCCAAAGCCATTTATTATGCAACCTATTCTTTAGGCTCACGATTACTAGCTATTATTATCATTATTTTCATTATTATCATCTAAAATTATATTTCTACCATTGCTATTTGAAAAATTATTTATACTACTACTGCTAATTGTAATGGAATTATCTTTGTTCTTACCCTCTCTCACAACCCAAGCTTTGATTTTATCTAAAGAGGCGTGTTGTGGTGATTTCTGGTGGCTGAGCTAATCCTTATCTCTTCAGATAAGACATTATATAATTTCGGGGGATAAATTTTTTCTCTTGTTAATATTCAGAAACGTAAAAGCATATATTTTTCCGCAAAAATATTCGCAAATTTGCGCAGCATCATGAAAATGTCCAATTTTATTGGTGGGTTGGGTGCGTGTTATCCTTATTTAGAAATTGATTTGGCGATTTGCGGATATTTTTGTGGACAAATACATGATTATCAGAAATGTGGTTTGGTTAAATAAAATATAAGGAGTTACATGACTAAATTTGCAATTGTTTCACAAACCTCCAATTTGGGCCCCACTTCTCCATTTCGCCTCAGTACACATTTTATTGATTTCATTGTTGAGGGCCAAAATTGCTTTTTCGAGTTTTTTATATATAATTTGATCAACTGGAGGCGAAATTGGGGTTGAAGCTGGCATTGGAGCTGGAGATATATTTTTGTGCAAATATATGAATTATTGTATTTTCCGGGATAACGGGATAAATCATCTCCATTGTTAATATACCCTGGTTGTATAGTTTGTAAATTGTGATTACAACAATGGAAATCGCAAATAAAAAATTATTTTGCAATTGATAAATCAATTAATTGTTAGTTTGAATATTCGATTTATGTTTGTTTTAATAATGATTTTTTTTACCCAAATTCCAGCGATTTTAACTTGTTTTTATATGTATTGCAAAACAGTAACTACGTTCTAAAACTAGACCTCAGTAACCAATTATGATATAAGGATACTTGGTTCTTTAAAATTTCATACTAAATTGAGGTAATAAATCACCTGCGATCATCTGCCAATTTGCTACATTTCATTTGTTTGTAGTGAAAAAAATAAGTTATCCAATCTTCACGACGAAATTATCCAAGCTATATGTTTGCACATAATTTCAAAGGTCAAGAATCATTGGTTTTCCAAATCACATTAGAAATTTATCTAATATGGACGATCCGTTACATTTGCCGGTCCTAATTATTTGTGGATTCATGCTGATAGGTAAAATCGAAAACTTTGGCACATCTCATATGATGCACAGGCACTCATTCGATGTCAAAAAATAAGCTTAATCGTTTTTATACAACAACAATAGATACCTCTCATTTATTCATTCATAAAACAGAGAAGATCTAATGATCACATAATAATACACAACATTAGATAAGACACTCTGTATTCTACGTAATGTAATTTGGCAAATATATTATAGATATTTTTTGTAATCTAATTCTATATTCCTTCTAAGATCAAATCTGCAACATCTATTTAATTAATAATTTTTTTTGATTCCAAATTGGATTGCCTTTATATAGATAGACCATCTTCGGAAATACAAATGAGTCAGAAATGGGTATAACAGTTCCATCATGCAATGTAAAAGTTTTATTTTGGAAATCCACTTTTTCCACGTTTGCTTGAAACCATGGCCAACCTAATACCAGTGCGGTTTCATGCACAGGTTCATCAGATACAAAAATTTCAGTAACTTCTACTTGTTTCCCATTTTTTATCTTTGGTTTGAAGAGAAGTATTTAGTTTATGGATCATACCTGATATAGGATACATACATGGTAGATTTTCAGGTTTTGTATAGGAAGTATTGATTTCCAAGTCAAAAAGACTTGCTAAGGTCTCATCTATAATATTATAATTAGTACTGGGTTGAAATGCAACTATGGCTGGTATATTATTAATTTCACAGGTTAAAGTTATCATTATGGCGTTTTATTATAACAGTGTATTTATTTCTTGATATTATTATTATGATATTTTAATTCTGGATTTTCTGCAAAAGTTGGATGACTCTAAATATTAGTATACCATTTAATAGGTTTCAGGGGAGCTAAAATTGAAGACAAGTATTTTTCTCACTTCCCCCAACTTGAATTCCAATAATACTGAAATCGTCCTTATTTGATAAACACCCCTTATATGTCCAATACACACCATCGTTCATTTCCCTCCATAATTTTACCAGGTCATTTTGCTTTTTTTGTTCATCGCAAATTAGATGCGAGCTTTCAGTAAATAATACTTCATATAATCTATCGTTACTAGTGGTAATGAACATAACATCTGGTCGCTTTCCAATTCCTCTTTGGTCTTTACTGGCCATGCTTTGGCACTCCGCTGTGCTAATAAAACCAGATTTTCCAATCGAGAGGCCTTTTGATGATGCACAAATCATCGGAACTATTACATGAGTCATATAAGTCCTTTCACTTTGCGACTTGGAGAACTTCGGACTGAAGGCTGGATTTTTCCAGATATCTCTTCTATAATAGTATTGATAAAAAACCCATTTTACAGGATCAATGGTCATTTCGAAGAAATATCCGAATTTTGCAGAATATTTTGATAATACTTACAATATTTCAAGGATATCTTTTGAAATTTTTGTAAGAACTTCATCAGATTCCTTCCAGCTCTTATCATGTGAAAGTCTTCCCATTGGAATATCTGTAATGCTATCTCTGAAATTATTAACAAATTCATTGCATTTATCTCTGATACAAGAAGAAGCCATTACTTTCATGCGCTCCGTGGGATCCTTTTAGGTTAAAACCAATTGGGTTAATTTCTAATAAAAACAATAATAATGAAGTATATTTTTTACTTACCATAAAAAAGTTATATTCTTCTTGTCCCAATGTTCTCACCATGTCTGAATCAGTGCAAATTACTTGACTAGCAAGTGGATCCCGCCATGATAAATCTGAAATATTCTTCTTTAAGGGTGGAGTGATCACCATATCAAAAATCAGTTATACAAAATGACTAAAACAATTTTATGTTACACGATTTTATTTTGCAATTTAATAAAGTTATTTATAACAGATAACAAAGTGTTTAAATACTTCATGACTGTTAGTATTAGTATAAAGGACATATTAGAGCTTCAACTCCTGTAGTATGTAAACTTGAACTAACATAACTGCTCAAAAAAGTTTATATTCTTTGATAGACATCTCAAATTATCTTTAATTGACGATCCGTGAATGAATGAGAGAATTTTTGTGTGATCGGTGGGGCAAAAATGTAAAAAAATCACCAATCA